GGGAGAATTCATCTGGGGAAAATTCATCTGTCTAAATGTAAAACTCTCATGCATATTATTCTTCTCTGAGTTCCTCTTCCCTTCTGACACGTGAACATGTTGTAGCATATAAATTGGTTTTCAGGAAAATAATTCCATGCATTAGAAAAGGACTGGATAAATAACTTAAATATGAGAAGCCAGGAGATGATGAAACTATTCATATGATGAGGGTTTCTGTGCAATGGCAGGATCATGAGATCTTCAGAGCTGCTCTGACATTCCCAGGCTTTGGCCTCATTCTCCCACGTACAGGACAGGGTGACAAAGGGTAAGGTGGTCACAGGGCAGTAGCTTTTGTTGAGAGATCCCAAAGACGTAAATTTGCTAGGAGGTTCGGGTAACCCAGAACATGAACAGGTGTCTGAAAACCTCTGCTACAGGTTTCCTTATAAAATGATCTTCTTGTTATCTCTAGAGCCATTATGAATTGTCGTGTAATTTATTTATTCTTCTGTGATATACTGGTCTCCACACCAGTTTATATGTAAAATATTTTATTTTGACCAAAATTCTTTCCAAAATTCCAAAGGCTAAATACTTTTCTGGCTTGATACTAATCAGTTCTTGAGTACAGTAGAAGGAGCCTGAGAAACAATAGTGTCATTGAGAAAAAAAAAAGTGAACTTGCTGCCTACTTACTGCTCAGGAATTCTGTGTTACTTCTGTGAATTGTGTTTAGTGATTTCATTGCCTGTACCTTTGAGTATTGTTTTTCTTTATTTCCTTCTTGCCACAAAAATATGTGATTGTATTTGTCCCAGAAATGTGTTGGCATATGGATATAGTTCTTTGCCAGCCTTTGATGACAGGCTGAGAAGTTTTCGGGGGGGGGGGTGGGGGGGTGGGGTGGTCATCCTATACATGAATCCAGACTACAAGATAGCTGAAATACTGTTTTCCTGTACTTTCAGCATAAAGCCTAAATAATGTAATTAAAAATTGAACACAATTTCAGGTGTGGTAGCCTGATCCAGTAACTCAGATGTGTGGTGTGTTGAGTTGACCCTCACTGGATGCCAGACACCTTCCAAAGCCACTCTGTCACTGCCCTCCTCAGCTGGATAGGGGAGAGGGAATATAGAGAATGGGCTGAGATAAGGTCAGGGAGAGATCATTCAGCAATTGCTATCATGGGCACAACAGACTCAGGGAAATTAGTGTAATTTATTACCAGTCAAATCAGATTGGGGCAATGAAAAATAAAATAAAATCTTGAAAACACCTTCCCCTCATATCTTCTCCTTCCTGGACTTAACTTAATTCTCAATTTCTCCACCAGCAGTGCAGGGAGACAGCGAATGGGAGCTGTGGTTAGGCTATTATGTCTCTTCTGCTCCTTCCTCCTTGGGGGGAGGACTCCTCACAGTCTAACCCTGCTTCTGCCTGGGGTGCCTCCCACAGGAGACAGTCCTCCATAAATTTCTACAGTATGATTCTTTCCCACAGAAAGAATCATGTTCATGTGGGAACAGACTGCTCCAGTGTGGGTCCCAGCAAGGTCACAGGTCCTGCCAGCAGCCCTGCTACAGCACAGGCTCCTCTCTCCACAGGTCCTGCCAGGAGCCTACTTCCCAAAGGATCCTAGCCTCCTTCAGGCATCCACCTGCTCTGGTGTGGAGTTCCCCCCGGGCTGCTGGTGGGTCTCTGGTCCCCTGTAGACCTCCATGGGCCCATGTCTCACCATGGGCTACGCCAGTACCTGAATCACCTCCTTCCCCTCCTTCTTCTCTGGCCTTGGTGTCTGCAAGGCTGTCCCTCTCACGTATTTTTCTCTCCTCTCTCTGTCTGCAGTCGCCATTATGCAGTAACTTCTTTTCCCCGTTAAAATCTGTTATCCTCAAAGTGCTACCACCTTTGCTGGTGGGCTCGGCCTTGGCCAGTGGTGGGCCCATCTTGGAGCCAGCTGGCTTTGGCTCTCTTGGACGTGGGGGAAATTTCTAGAAGTTTCTCACAGAAACCACTCCTGTAGCTCTCCATCTGCCAAGATGTGTCATGCAAGCCCAGTGCTTGTGGGTAAGGCAGTGCAATCACAGTTTGGATAATTGGCATGGTTCATGCGCTCAGATTTGCTGCCTGAAAAGTCCTTTGATGGTTCAGGGCAGTAGTACCAACACACAGCACTACCCATTTTCCAAGACACATTGAAACTCTGTAGTAAATAGAAAGTCATTCAGGATATTAATTTGTAAACTGGTATAGTGCTGATTCTGTGCAGCCCCAACAACAGGTCCTTTATTTAAGTGTGATTGCATGGGAAAAACAGAACTTCTCAGTAGTGACACACTAAAGAATGGACAGTGCCTGCTGTTTTCCAGTGATTAATAGAAATACAACTGTCTTTTTGTAATTTTGTTCAGGGTGTTCCTCATGGCATGTCATGCAGCAGCAGATAACCACCATTGCTGGTGACGCAGTGACGCCAGGATGTGGGATCTGTGCATCCTTTTTCTGTTTGACTGGGTGTTCCCACTCAGCCAGGGAAGGCATTCTTAAAATGTTAATGCATTACTGAGGGCAAGAGACTACTGCTACATCTATGCCAGTACTGCATGCTGTAGTGTGCACCCAGTCTTGTAGAATTATGTGGTCGTGATGGAGGGAAGTAATCATAATAAAATCTACACTTGTGCCACTCTTCTACTCATAGTTTTATTTTCCCTGCACACTATGTAATTTCCATGCCATCCTCTACCCACTCTTCCTTTTCCACACAACACCTTCTCTGAAAACAGCAGATTTCTCCTTCCTCATGTACTACATTAGAATTCATTTTCTTGCCTTATCTTATCTTGCCTGCCTCAGTATCTCACCTTTATCTGTGCTTACTGTTTCTGTCTCATATAGGGTTTCAAATAGCTGTAGAAGCATTCCTATCAGTGTCTGAATTGAGCCAGCTTTGATTGAAATGATTGCTTGCACACATATTTTGCATATAGGTCAGGGATTGGATTGGTTAGCTGAATGCTATCTGTATATTTTGATTTCATTTTGGTGATGCTGGTAAGTGAGTGTTCACTTTAATTGCTTTCAGATATTATGTGGGTAACTTTGGTACAAGACATTGTCTTACATAGATTCAAAGACAGATCCTTCACACGCCAGAGAGATGCATTTGGGTGCTGAGTAGGATGAGGAGGAGTGTTTTTCAGAGGGGTTTTAAGCCAGTTCTTCCATTTATAACTCCTGAGCTTCTTCAACATATTTTTTCATCAGCTATTCACACTTTGTCTTTTTCACATATTGTGTTGAGAGCAGAAGACAAAAGCCAATTCCAGGTAAACTGAATCCAAAATGAGGTGAGTTGAAACCCATTTCATTTGCATACCCAATACATGGTACTGCTAATATGCTTTATGCCTACATAAATGACATAGAATCATATTTCAGTTTGTCTGTCAAACAGTCATTTTTTAATATAAAGATCTGAGAACCTAAAAGGGCTGATGACAGTGTCCATGGTGTCCATGGATGAACCCTTTAGGTACATTATGGCAATAATTTGCTGCATTGATCAAAAACTTCGTGAGGTAGAATGGTGACGCTGAACATCCATGGAAGTATTGAATAGCATGGACACAACCATGGCTTTTTTCATGATACGTTTTTATAAAAATCACTAAACAACAGAGCTGGGGAAGGTGGAGGGGGAAGGTAGTGAAAGCTTTCAGTGAAGCAGGGGGAGTTGCCAGTTTTTATTTAGTATGATGGACCTGAACTAATAGCTATTGCTTCAGACTCACAGAATCACTTATCACTACTTTATTTTTATTTATTAATTTTATTGCTGTAGGAGTTGCATTGAGGGCAAGAACTGCTGCATACTAGGGGCTTTTTAAAGATATTTTTGTTGATGTACTGGACAGAACTGCTTAAGTGCATGTCTGGTGTGTGTATTGATCTCACAGACTGTGTTCCGCCAGGTGAGTAAGAAATGCTCAGCTGTGACAGTTCTGAAAGTCTAACAGCCAGACCACCTCTGCAACAGCATCTGGTATAATGATGGGGAAAGGATTACAGAGCAAATAAGGACCATTCACTCTTCAAAAACAATTAAAGAATTATTTTTGCCTGCAAAAAGGCTATTAGGAAGGAAACCCTTCCCCACTTGCCACTCACATGTTTTCAGTGCAAGCACTGAAGTTCAGCAGTTGGCAGGTGGAATCTCCACCCCAAATTTATATTACCACATTTATTAATTTTTGTTAATGCTGCATCTCTATCCTCTATGCTTCCAGTTAGTTTCCCACTGCTATTGCTTTAATGGAAAGTATTATCTTGCAGTGAATGGACTAAAATGTCATTATTGGACACGAAGTAAATACACAAACACTTGGTAAGTTCAAAGGCTAAAAAAAGAAGAGTGTTTCATTTGAGTATATGGTATTCTAGAGGTGACTGTGGATTGGAGGATGGAATTAACACTTCTCCAACTACACTGTTCAAACTAATAGTCTATCAATTATCTCCTCATATAAATAAGAATGTAAAACAATTATTATTTACATGAACAGTGCGTGAGAACTCCAGTAGAAATATGCAAACATATCAGGAGGCTGAAGAAGTTTTATGTGAACTTTAAAACTTTCAAAAGAACTATAAGAGAAAACTTAAAACTTTTAAAAATCAGGGCAACACTAAAAGAGAAAAGGTTTCATCTTCTATTTATAATCTGTTTACAGGGTTTTGATTAAAAGACTAAATGTGTTTCTCCAGCCACCTCAGCTAAAACAAGACCATCAATTTCTCAAATCTCATAAAAGACTTGGAGAAATAAATCTGAGGCATTCACTCTCCTGACAAGCCGCCAGACCCTTGCTTTCACACTGGCAAAGGCATTTCTGCCCTTGATGTCATGTGCAAAACACGAGGATTTGTGCCGTGCTAATCCCTCTAATGAGGGCTTCTCCCAGCCTCTATATAAACCCTGCTCAAAGCCGTGGCTGCTGGGCAGGCACCACAGAGTCAAAGCACCCGTATTTTGAGCTGCATTCAAAGCAATTAGGGGCTGGGATTAAACAAACACCCAACACCAGCATCCTCAGCAGAAGGAGTTATTATCCTGCTTGGCTGGGGCGTGGAGCTGTGCTGAGGCCGGGTTGTCCCACGGTACACATCTCCCTGCTCTTTGCAGTCAGGTCCAGCGGGGAGGCACAGCCTGCATGCAGCAGGAATGGGAGCCCTGAGGTGGCTTTTCTGGGCTGGGCTGGGCTACCTGAGCTGCTGCTGTCCCCCACAGGTACAGGCACAGTTTCCCCGTGCCTGCATGACGGTGGAAGCCCTTCGCCTGAAACGCTGCTGCCCGGCCTTGGGGACAGAGCCAGGCAATATCTGTGGGTCCCTGCAGGGCAGGGGACGGTGTGAGGGGGTGCTGGCAGACACTCAGCCCTGGAGTGGCCCCTACACTCTCCAAAATGTGGATGACCGTGAATGGTGGCCCCTCAAGTTCTTCAACCACAGCTGTCAGTGCACAGGTGAGACGGGTGCTGGGGGGAGGGGATGGGGATGGAGGGGTCTGCTAACATTGCTCCAAAGGCCAGAGGCATTCCTGGTGGTATAAGGCATCAAGAATGCTTCCAATATCGCCATTATTTGAAAATTCTCCCATATTCCTGATACTGTTAGTACTTTTTCGGAGGATCAGGGTCAAAGAAGTGTTTTCTGTCATGTGAACTTCCATGTTTTCTTCTTTGCCCGTGGAGTTGTCCCTGTAGTCAGGGATCCACTTTCTCCACAGGGGTTTGAACCTTTCAGCGCTGCTTTCAAACCTCTATCTCTGCTACTCACGGTGCTCTGAACCTGGATCAGTATGCGTTGTTTGAAGATTTATTTCTCATGGATGAGTACTTTTCAGTATGACATAGCCCTGCGCACTGAAAATTTCCCAATGTCAGGCCAGGGTGTTTCCCAGGTTTGTTAAATTTAGTTTGTTAACTAAATTTACGTCTTACACTGATCCAAAATGTGTCTGTACAGCCACCAAAGAGACCATCCCATCCTTTTCCTCCTCATCTCCAGCTGCTACTTCTCACTGTGACTTTTCATGGGCTCCTGAGTTTGAATGCTGGAGATGAAATGGATCTAGAAGGAGACATGCTTGAAGGCTAACCTGGCCAAAGGAATAAGGTTCTAATGAGACCACTTCCCTAATGCTGGCATGAGGCAGTGAGCAAGAAGGTGAGCTCAGGGCAGAATAAGGTGACAGGACCCTTTCTCACCAACAGCCCTGGCTGAAGGGGGGTTAAATGAGCAGGAACTGCAGCCTTAGCCCAGACTTCTGTGCAGGGCTCACAGGAGATGGCACCACCAGTAGGCAAAAGGCACATCATAGGCACTGAAATCTCTTTCTAGGCACATTTTAAACAAAACCTGGGATTTCTTGTTGAAAATATCAAGTTGTTTGAATTTTCTAACGTGAGAAGAATAAACTGCTTTGCATCAGCCTGATTCTTAGAATGAGTGGAACTGTTTTGTCTAAAATGTATACCTCGGCTCGCACTACCAAGAAAGCCCAGATCAGCCTGGGAGGGCAGCACTGCAGAGAATTTCAGCCAAGGATGTTAAATTTTCCAGTGCAGCTATCAACTGGAAATAGAGAGGTAGTGGCAGATGACTTAAATGGATACATGGTGTTACCAAAACTCCTCAAAATAATAATAATAGACTTTATAGTATACATCATTTTTTATCTCTTTCTTTGACTGGATTTCAAATGCTTGTGCAAAAGGACCTTTCTAGACAGTTTGCAAAAAAAAAAAAAAAAAAAATTGATGCACATTATATTTCTTAAAGAAAAGAAAAAACCTTATATATCTCCAAAACTTAAGTCAGGTATCACATACAGACACAGATCCTGGGTCACAAGAACACTGGAGCATATGGGCATGCACCAATATTTATGTATTTAAAGTCATTAGAGCATCAAAACATGGGAATAAAGTGAAGAGCAGTCAAGACAGACATGCTCTGCATAGGCAGACATTAATTTGCTTATCCAAGTAGAGATTAACACTGATATTTGATATTTGCAGGACTGGATCCCAAGTTACATGAGCAGAATGTAGTCTCCTTTCCTTCAGCTTTACTTCTTCTGACCTGGCTGCTCCCATCGGCTCTTTAAATCCCTTGGATTCCTCTTTCTCCTTGCAGTTTTGTTTAATCTAAATATACCAGTGATAAAACAGGAAGCAAAAGGTATCCTTAAAAGTTTTCCTGGGTTGTACTCTGCTTGATGATGTATGCAAAACCATTTCTAGGAGAATGCTAAGAAGTTCACAGCTATGTGGGATTTGAAATAGATCTGATGCTTTTACAATGCTGGTGGTCGTGGCTCTGTGTCTATTAGGGGTTTTTTGTGCTTTCTTTCCACTTGGTTTAATGCACTGGTTGGTTGTCTGCAGACCAGCTGTAAGTGGTGTGATATGTGGTATTTATTAGGCATCCAGAGCTATGATACCTGTGTAAGATAATGATAGGTAACATAGGGTAACAGAAATTAAATATGCCTCTTCAAAGGGACATGGAACAGTACACATCTCTGCTATTAAGGTGTCTTATTTTCCAAACTGCAAACTGCCTGTTTGGAATAGTTCCTGGATTGTGCAAACTCCAATCCCACTAAGTCTCTTGCCAGCACTTTAACAGTATAAACAGTTGTGTTCCATCCTTATAGTTTAGAACTGGTGTGAATGGTAAGCTATGGGAAATTCAACCACCACGTAGCTGATTATTTGGTTAGACAGTGCCAACAGAACATGTCACATAGGTGATGGCTATATGGCAAGGAAACTGGAGGAACAGTGAGGAACAGGGGCTGAGATTTCCCAAAGGTGGGATTCTGGAGTTTTCACAATATGTTGGAATTTGTGGGTATTGGTGATTTTGAGATTGTAGAAAGTCTCTGTCTTTCTGCCCCGTTGCTAAAGAAGAAGCCATAGTTTGTCTGTGCTGATTTCAAGGTTGTTTATTTTTGCTTATCTATAACATGTTCTGCTGCCCTGCCGCAGGTCTGTCCTGTAGGGCAGTGTGTGGGGCTCTGCCCCTCAGTGGGATGGTACAAACATTATATACCAGAAATTACATGTACTATATTTATAATAATGTGCCAATATCTATCATCTACGTTGAATAGTGTGTCCCCAGCCTAAACTAATAGAAAAATGCCAACATCACCAAGAACATGGAGGTAAGGAAGAAGAAGGAGGAAGAACAGGATCAGGTCCACTTTCTTCCATCTTAGAACTCCTGACCCCCCTGTACAAAGTAAAACCCCCCTGTACAGGTGTTAAAACCCCCCTGTACAATACTAAAAAATTTTACCCTCTAATTTGTGACTACTTTTACTATATCATCTAACCCTCTGTGACTGCTTGTTCCACCTTTAAAGTTGGTAATTCATTCCATGGTTCAAACTCAAAATCACAGCTGTTTTCTGCTGTTTGCCAGGGTCTAAAATGCTTCTGACCAAGGCCTGGAACCTCTAAAAATGTCTGAGGGACATTTTGAGTTCCGACAACAATAAATTTATTTTTTTGCTAAAAACTTAGTATCTAAGGAGAAAAGAAACTCTGAAAATTTTTCCATTTGTTGGAGCCATTCACTGAGGAAAAAAAATACCTTAAAATCATATCTATCCAGGTCTGGGTACTGAACATTTATGGGCCCCCCTTCCTCCCAAACAACCTAACAAATCAAAAAGAAAAAAGAAAATCCCAAACACAAATATGGATTAATGGCTATAATGGGATCAGATTAATTTTTTTCCATTTCTAGGCATTATCAGATGGTATGCATGAGTTTTTCTTTAACTGAGGACAAATAGAACAAGATTAGAACAAAAGAAAGATCCAGCTTTACTTCTCACTTTTTGTCAATGGTCAATAAGCAATTGCAGGTTTGTTGTCAAGATGCACTTTTTACTCAATGTGTTGATTGCAGTAAAAATATAATCACTGTCAAAAAATATGGGGTTATGTCATGGATGTAGTTGGAAGGTGGCAAAGAGTTTTTAGATCTTGACTAATTTCAGTTTCAAATCCATTGAATGTGTTCTACAATTAGTTTGGGTGCCCTCATACTATTCTATTTATAGAAATTCTTAAACTGAAACTACTGGACAGATCCTAACACTGTGCAGTAGGTGTGAAGGGGAATGTGCTAATTTGTTTTCAAGAAGGTCTACATGTGGAATTAGACCAAGTGATGGATATGTGAGTCCAACCTTAAATATTGAGACTTGTAGCTGTTTACAAAACAAAGCAGTGCTTCAGTGAGATAGTTGATTTTAGTTTAAAAGAAAATTATTTTAGAAGACTTGTGAACTAAATACTATTTTGAGTTCTAAATGATAGCATTGTACTGCTGGGATACAGATCTGGTACAGGATTTAAAAAACTCAATACAAAAGACTATTGTGAAAACCCACTGCGGTCAGTCATGTGGTTGCTAGTACAGATTGTGACAGTGATTAAACAATGACGAAGTTTGAGTTCACTGAGGAACATAAGTATCATTCTTTTCTCCTGCTTCTGCTTTCTGAGGTTTACATATGGGCATGTGCTGAACATTACTCTATTTCTTAATAGAAGTTTTTTGAGGAAAAAAAATTAAATCCTTTCAAAGTCCTGTGCAATATATTCAAGCTGGCGACAGATGATTTAGCATCTATTCTTTAGCTGTAATCAAATTGTCAGTTAAACCATGTAGCTGATATGATGGCTACCCCATGAGCTAAAAATTGGGCTTTTGAAGAGGTTATAAAATACACTTCATTTACTTGTTGTAGGGTAATGTGTCTGTGGAGTAATACTAAATTATAGCCATGCCTTGATTGACCCTATTAAATCCAGTGTAGGTACAGATCTTCCATATCCTACAGCCTGTGAGTGTGTCCAAATGAAGAGCTAGTAAAGAGAGAAGAGCTAACCATTTGTCCTACATATTAGCAGTCCTGATCCCAGCCTTGAGAAATTGCAGTATGCAGGTGTTTCAAATCAAATGTAACTCCTGTTTTAATGCAGTAGCTAAAGAAGTCTGAAAAGGAGTCCTTTCTCCCCATCTGATAAATGATGGGCATTAAACTGGTCTCTATAGAAGGAAGAGGCATGGCGGCTGCCTGGGTCATCTTGGTACACTAAAACAGGGCAAAAGATGGTAAATGTTGAGTGGGTTCATTTTTACTGAAGAAAAGACACTAAGTTGATGGAGTTATTAATTTGTGTTATGTTTGGTGACTGAGGGCCAGCCATATGTTATGACCACTAAGAGGCAGAAAATTTATGAGCTTAGGCAACCCTCAGGCTTAAGAAGCAGCTGCAGTGGTGTGTGATGACTGGTGTTAGCGTTCACCAGTGGTGTGTGTGAGCACACACCGACTGTCAACTCATAAGAAGTGTATTTTTCTCAGTGCCATGCCAATGGATTGACCCACTGGGAGAAGTAGCATGGCCATAGTGCCTACAGAAACAGTCTTGACTCAGCAACTTTAAGTGTTGCTGAGATTGGGTACAGAAGAAGGCAGCTCCCCAGGCATGTGGTCCCATCTCTGGACAGAAGGGTTAATGGAGAATACACAGATGATATTTTGACCAGCGGCAATACAGTGGACACTCCTGAAAACAATGGAACAAGCCAGGAGCATCCCACAGTGATATGATCTCCTTCCTGTGCACCAGGATGACCTCCCACGCTACATTCTCTGGAAACCACAAGAGATGATAATAATCTCTGTTGTCCCTGGCAGAGCCTCAGGAAGGCTGTTCACTGAGTTCCTATGTGTTAATCACTGAAAGTGCAAAAATGCTAAGGCATGAATCCTTGCATGCTCCTGGAGTCCCTGTCTGCAAAAGTATCTTGAAAGGGTCTCATTGCCTTACTGAAAATATCTACTGTGCACTGTATCCTGCTATCAGGAGATTATTTTTCCTGCTCTCGTAGAGCTGTACCATTGAATTCCACCTTCACCAGCACAACAGTGCTGGTGACAGGGAAGTTAAGTTGTAAGAGACCAGCATTTCACAATGATGTCATGTGGGAAGTGCACATGGCAGTAAATGATCTTTCTGGAAACTGTAATGCATAATTTCCAGATCAGTGGCCTGGTAGAGTGCTTTAGAAAAAAATGGTGAAAAAGTGGTTTGGGTGGGTCATAAAAAAGCTGGGTCTGATTGCTGCAGCAATTTCTCTTTGAATTATGGGAAATCCCACAGACCTCCATCATTTTCTTGCCATTTCAGCTGCTGCAATAACGGCAGTCCTGTGATGCATGTTGAAAGAAAATGACAAAAAACAAGTTTTGATATAATGAAGTTTCGTGGTTTTGTGTGTTTCTGACAATGGAACATTGCCAAATAGACCTGAGGATGTGACAAAAATGTTCAAAACAATTGGCAGAAATATTGCAGTGTGAAATACCACTTTGCCTGGAAATTGTCTCCTGTTTGCAAGTCTCCATTGCAGTCCTCCTCACTTAGTGGGGCTCATGCCCCATTGAAGTGACTGGGGAAGTGATGGAAAGAATGGAACCCTTGGATTCCTTCCTAGATAGGGTGGTTAAGGGAGAAAATCCTGCAGAGCATCAATTGGATATAATTAGCACCTGCCCAAGGGAAACAGGTGACAAGTCATTGGTCAACCTGGCTCCAGATACAGTTGGAAAAAAGCTTTCTCCCCATGAAGGTAACTCATCATTTCAGAGTTTTGTAAATTTCTTCTCAGAGCCTGAGGAGCTGCATAGAGTATATGTAATATACAGATATTGTCTGATAAAATTATTTCAGGCATCAAGACCTGCAGATTCAAAGAGCCCTTCCTGAGGGAGGAATAGGCACCATCAGAACCTCAACAAGTGACTGAGAGTGTCTTGTTCTGGTACCAATCCAGACAGCAGAAATCTGGTCCTGCATTGCCTCTGGTTCTATCAGTGCTGTATTTCAATGTGATGCTTATCCAGCATTGTGAGTAGAGAGGTCCCTTAAATGACTGGAGGAATAAATTCCAGTCTCAAAAGAGGTTGTTGGCAGATTTTTCATGGTTAATTCCTGCTTTTTCCTCCTTCTCTTAAGGATTGAATTGTACCTGAGTGTGAGGGGTCAACAGGTACTTTCCAGAAGTTCATGGTACATGACTGAAACTTGAGAAGTATACATGGCCTAATTATGCAATGTTGCAAGATATTCTTGGTATTTGTCATCTGGTCAGTTCAGGCTGGAATATGTGATGGGCCCTAATAGCTAGGCTAAGTCATGAAGAATGAACAAGACACAGACAGTGGAGTACACTGAGTTGATAACAGTAATTGTACTGTTCTGACAGGACCCTGAGGATACTGTGATCAAATAAATCTTCCATGTTGCTTATCCCCCCCGCACCCCCATATCCATACAATTCACACAATCTGCTTTGCTTCACATAGCTATAACCTACTTACTTCCTCTGGTGTATGTCTTCATCCCCTTTAGCCAGTGCAAACCCCTGGCTTTGGGTGCCTTCCCTCATAGCTGGAATATGGCAGCTGAACCCAGCTGCTTCTACTTGCGTCATGACAAAACGTAAGCCATATATCTGGAAATTGTCTTCATGGGATGCCATCGGGATGTGCACGATCCAAAACCTTATTGAAGTCTTCATGCTTGTGGTCCCTAAACTGAGCACTGATCCTCAGCTTCATGACAACATGTAAACTTAGAGACCTCAAGGGCTCTGAAGCAGCTGTAGCCAACCTACATTTGGTCCAAACTCTGCAGTAAGAGTCCTCATATATTCTTGGCAGGTCTTACAGGAGTCTGCCACACATTTCAGCAGCTCTTACCCTAAAAGATAGACATAAGCTTCAGAGCCTTGCTGGTAACAGCCCTTGTAACCTTGGGGGTCCTTGAATTTAGTAATAAGCCCGGTAGCCCCTAACAATCTGAAATCTTGCTTAAATGTTAATTATTGTTCTGGTCATAGGCTCAAGCCTACAGCCTAGGGACATCTGCCTGTCTGGGAACATTTCAGAAGATACTTCCTCATCCATGTTAGTCTTGGATCTAGTAGCACCAATATGTGTGATGAACAGAGATATTTTATGGTGTTTTGGAAAACAGTTGTCATAGTTGTTGTGGAATGAGTGTGTGGGGAGTTGGAGGGGTGGTTGAGAACAGGTTAAGGAGTCAGTGCAGATTTTTGATAGCAGTGTGGAAATCCCAGAGAAACCCTGTTGCCATTCTGCTTCCCCCTGCCTCCGGCAGCGCTGCCCCATGTTCCACACTGCTGCAGCCTGCCAGCACACAGGCAGGGAGCAGGTGTGTACTGTGGGAATGGCTGGTTGTTCCCTGGCTCCCCCAGAAATGGGGGGGCAAGATCCAGTAGGGCCTTTCTGCTGCTGCCAGCTGTCTGCTGCTGCATGCAAGAGGTCACACTTAAAGCAAGCTCTGCTTTCCTGGGCTCTCCCATCCCATCAGAGAGTCTGAGCTAATATCCTAGGGCAGACCTGATTACTTGCCTTAGGAATGATGCCAGTGGGGAATGACAGTATTGCTGTGTTTCTCAGGCTGTTATTGTAGCACCGTTTAATAATGCTTAAAGCGTGACTAGCAGCAGCCCTGATGCTTGTCCTGGTTCATGTTGGGCCCCAGATACACTGTTAAGAGGCACTAGTTTAATATAAGTTTTGTCCTTAAGAGAACTGTTTTGTTTAGGGATTTTTTCTGTACTTAAGGATCCATTTGAACTGACCCTGCTTTGGGTTTGATCCTGGAAGGAGTACTTGAGAGCCAGTCGAGCAAAGCACTTCATCACTGGCTTAACCTCAATTGCTCAGCTCTCTGTTCAGTGAGTCCTCACGTGCCTGAGGGCTTTGCAGAGCTCTGAGCACCTCAGGGCGTCAAGCCCATTACCCAGCTCTTCCCCAACTGGCTGAGTGTGATTCTTGGCCCTGCTGTGGCTCTGGGAATCGAGCCAGTCATCCTTCTGGTTAGTCAATTGGCAAAGCTGCAAGTCTGCTCAGCTGCTGTCCTTTCCAGGAACTGGCATCTCTGGGGAAGAAGTGCACTAATTCTTCATTCTTCTACATTGCAATGTTAGTTTTCTCTGCTTCATATGTCGTGACTGATTGTTCCCTCTTGATCCAGGAAACTTTGCTGGGTACAACTGTGGTGAATGCAAGTTTGGCTGGACCGGCCCTGAATGCAACAGGAGGAAGCCAGCAGTTGTCAGGAAGGACATCCATGCCCTGACAGCAGAGGAGAGAGAGCAGTTCTTTGATGCTCTAGACCGTGCCAAGACAGCCATTCACCCTGACTATGTCATTGCAACTCAGCACTGGAGAAGTCTGCTTGGTCCAAGCGGAGAGGAACCGCAGATTGCCAATTGCAGTATTTATAACTACTTCGTTTGGCTTCATTACTACTCAGTCAGAGACACGCTCTTGGGTTAGTACTTTTCTTTTCCAGTGGGCTCTGCAGGTAAAAAAAAGGATGAAAATACCACTGCTGGACAAAGGTCCCGGTAGTAGGCACAGAGCTGTGGAGCAAAATGGTGGTGAGAAGCTGGTGACCTTTGGACCTGCTATGGTCTGGTCCCCACACCCCATGGCGGCTGGAGCACTCCTCATGGTGCATCTTCAGTCTGACAGGGAGCAATGCAGAGTCTTCACCTGAATGAACTGAAGTGTGGCCAGGCAGTGACCAACTTCAAAAAGATGTTCCCAGTCCATAGGACAAGGAAGATGCAGTGGCGGTAGGAAAGGTGGTCTGCAGTGGTGAAGCCATGCAGAGCCACGCAGAGATATTTGAGACCAGAATGCTACTGCTTTCTGTGGCTTTCAGCAAGTCACCAAGTCCCCAAGGATGGGATTTGCCTGACAAGCCACAGTCACCTTTTAAAACCTAACTTAGAGGTTTGGGTATCTAACTCCATGCTTTCTCCCATATTCAGATTCCTAGGCCTCATTTCTTTCTAGACAGAAGTACCTATACCAGCCCCATTTCACAAAGCCTGCTTCTTGTGGGAGGTGCACCAACCAGTTCAGCTTTTCTACATGGCAGTCCCATGTGCAAGCTGAACAGCCCATATTTATCTCCTTGCTGGAGGGCAACTGCCACTCTGCAGTGGGTATCATTCAGTTTGCCCCTCTGACACAGCTCCCTTTTGCAGGGCTGAAGGAAGCAGCCTCTGGCCTAGTGAGAGCAAAGGTTCTTCAAGGGACAGGACAGTCATGTGGAAAGGCAAAGGGGAAACTTCTAGTACTGCTGCAATGGTAAATAAATCCATATGTGATTTGAAGCCTCTCACCTGTCACCTAGCAAAAGCACTATGCAAGAAATAACAAGCACAATTTGAAGAAAATTGGCAAAGGATTCTGGATTACTATTGGCATGGAAAATGCTGAGGTTCTCTTGATAGATACATGGTCTAAGTCTTGCAGCTGAGCAAGAGAATGAGGTAATGCACATATTAGCAAGGAGATGGGGTTTTGAATGTAAAACAGCTTTTTAAAATCAAAATTCACTAAAGTGAGAAGAAGTCTTCACAATATCCAGATTTTTAGGGAATGTGAAGTTTTGTTAGGCATTGAAGCAAATATCCACAGAGGAGTTTTGTTGGGAAAGATAGATAAATATGATTGCCTAGCAGAAGAGTCACAATAGTACAGTCAGGATGAAAACAATCCCCCCTACTGGCTGGACAATACCCTTACCTACAGATGGGTCCAAAAGTCAAATGGACTGTTCCATCTCATCCCCCAAATGTATGGTTCATCCCACACCTGTAACCCTCCCCTGAAACATCAAGTGTCTGTGACCCCATTGGCCCAAGTCCTGTTCCAGCCCACCTTGAAGCCCCCTGATAAGGGGTCTCCGGGGGGCAGACGCTCTCTTGGAACTTCCCCTCTCTTGGATTTTCCCCCTCTTGGAGTCCCTGCTCTCCTAGAGCACCCTCTCTACCCCTTGTCTCTCCCCTCCCCCATCACCTCAGGCCCTGCTGCATGCTGCGTCTGGCAGCTCCAGGCGGGACCTTTCACCATCCCTAATAAACCTTATATTCTAAGAGCAACCAACAGAGATCTCTCGTCTGAATCTATCCAAACCATCCAGGAGCCACCAGCATACCTACAGAGCTTGTTTCACTTGCCCCAAGTAAATGATGTGGCTTCTGATGTGTTCACTCTTTTCAAAGATGCAGAGCTGAAGGTTCTTGTTTAACTCTGCTCTGGCAATAAAAGGAAGTGCTGTCGTTCTATCCAACCTCATTTGATGCCTAAATGCTTGTTTTATCATCCCTTTGTAGGTCCTGGCCGCCCCTTCAAAGGTATTGATTTCTCCCACCAAGGACCTGCCTTTGTTACTTGGCATAGGTACCACCTGCTGTGGCTGGAGAGGGAACTGCAGGTTAGTTGAACAGCCTTTCCTTTTCCTTGCACAGCTTCTCCCTTTTGCTCTGTCACTTTTGTTGAGTTAGCCAACTGTAAGCTACCTCCTAGGATAGTTTCTCACCCAAACTCCCAGATGTATTTGCTTATTTATCATTTTTTTGTTTTGTTTTAAGTGAAATTAGTGCTTTCTGCATGGTTTCTCACCATGAACAGTGATGTGAAGGTTATCATGGAGATTTTTTCCCCTTCATCTCCACAACAGAGGATAGAAGATATGAAGTAACAGTATTTATTAATAAAATTAAAGCAACACCTTCATGTAAAACTTGGTAACAGAGATTGTTGGCTGATGTTGAAGATACTGTTCCCTGAAACCAGCTCTAAATATTACTCCCTTTAAATATGACATATTATACATTTAATACATACATATATTTAGCAATATGCCTTTAAAATAAATATTATTAACATGCCTAAGAGTCAGTTGCAGAAGTATAGACTCATTTCCATTTGCTTGACGTCTATATTGTCAGTGTTACAGATCTCAGCCTTACAGATCTCTAATGAAAATGGTTGCTTATCAAAATAGCTGCAGGATCTTGCTTGTGTGAAATTGTATCTGGCAAGCAAGCACAATCAAGTCCACTGTACTCCCCTATTAACAAAAGTTCAGATTCCTCCCCAGGGCCAGTTTTCTGGAACGAAAGCCAACCACATGCACAATTTTACCTATTACCCACTTACATCACTCAAAGCCTCTTACTTGCTTAAGGCTAAATTCATCTCTGCTCCTGCTCTGCTGCTTGGTCTCTGAGTTGGCAGAAAGCCTAACATGGCCAGAAGAGGTGCAGTCCCACAGCAGGGAAACCAGTGACAATACCTTTGCTTAGACTGATTTAATGCCACAATCTTTTGGAAGGAGTTGGAGTGGCACTGTGAAATGCAGGTAGTTGAAATGCAGAACGAAAAGCTGAATAGTCAGTGAAATATCAGTCAAACAGCTTGAAGGAGGCCCTTTCTTTCTCTTCCTTTTGGAGCTGATTCCCAACTAAAGCATTTCTGTCCATTGCAGCGCCTGATGGGCAATGAGTCCTTTGCGCTGCCATACTGGAACTTCGCCACGGGCAGGAACGAGTGTGACGTCTGCACGGACCAGCTCTTTGGAGCACCGCGGCCCGATGACCCGGGCTTGATCAACCTCAGCTCCAGGTTTTCCCGGTGGCAAGTAGTTTGTAACAGGTAGGAAGGTATCCAGAGCAAGCTCACATATGGACAAAACCTCACGGTCATCAGCATTGACAGCATGGGCTGCTCTCTCAGTGTGAGTGAGTGGCAGGAAAGGAGCCAAGATGTCTTCTTTAAAACTGGAATTTGCCATCAGTTTATGGGTAGATGGTTCTGTGTAAACTTCCTTATATTGTGGAAGTGTATTTTAAAAAGATGATTCTTCTAGTACAGGATTTTAGTTTATTTAGCCAATTTATGGCTGCCAAAAGTCTGAAGAGTTTCCCAACTGGCAAATATCTTTCAAAAAAAGAAATGCCTGTGTGTTCTCTATAACATACACCCAACTGATCTCAGCAGCAGAAAAAGAAAATTGTTTTGGCATTTAGGAAGCTAGAGATAGGCTGGAAAGTCTGCTACCTTGTTTTGGATGAGACTTTAACCCTGATGTATATAATGCAGTTTGGGGATTGACTTTGAAATATCTGAGATTTCATATGAGAAACAACACAGAGCCAGCCAGGAGCTTGCTGCCAGCTCCCTGTGGGAATGTGTTGACTCATGTGAGAGTAGGGCTTTGACAGGGGATTCAGATGCGGGATCAGGGTGCTGTGACATAAAATGCTGTTGGTTACAACACCCATACATCATTCTTCTCTCAGCTCAGGGGCAATGTGCAGTTAGTCAGATAGAGGTACATAAAGCTCAGGTTTTTCAAAATAGTCTCTTTTCCTGGATACCTAAAGAGATATTTGAAATTCCAGCTTCAGGTACCAGTTTCCTTTAGGTCTTGGCCCTACTTTTTCCTGAAAGACAAACAGGGCTTTGTTTTTTTTCTTGAAAACTGAAGTGACTAAACTTTTGTCTCAGTAAGGTTAAACTGAGAAAAGCTTTTATTTACTCTGAAAGTTTATGAAAATGTGGTTTCATTTCACACTGAATAGAACAGATATTTTTGTTTCAGCAGTGTTACACTGTTTCCTTCCCTCTTTCTCTCCCTGGTATAAAGGATTTGCTCCCCATTAGTTACTGAGTAAGCCGAGGTTGTTCTCAAAGCCCCTGAAAAAAGAGGATGCAATGCATTGCTCTTGCTTTTCTTCTAAAGTGGATGAGGGATGGCAAGTGAAAAATCTGTTTTCTGTCATTTCTTGTATTTTCTCAGCTCACATTTCCCTTTATTTTTTCCCTTTTTGCTGAGAGTTAAAAAAGTAGTCTGTAATCAGGAATGAAAGTTTGTCAATTCAAAATTGAAAACTCCATTTTACATTGCCTGACAATTCTTACACAGCCCTTGGGGATGGAGAAGGCATGACGGGAATTGTGCTTGCTTTTTGTAAAGCATTCTCTCTCTGTGGACAATGAACCTGGCAACTCTTGGTCTAAATGGCTGATGGTCCACAGAGGATGCAGGGCCACAGAAAGCCATGTCATGGTAATAGTCCTGAAATAAATTAATCTCCCAGGCTGTGGGAGGTGAACTGAGCTGCCCCAGGAGGTGTCCATCCCAATTCTCTGCTCTTTCACACGTATAGCCGAGGCCTCTGTGTACTGCATGAGAAAAAGCCAACAAAAAAGTGCTCACCTTCTGACTTGTCCTTCTCCCTGTTCCATGCTCAGTTTGGATGACTACAACCGCCTGGTCACACTGTGCAATGGCACTGATGAGGGACCACTGCGGCGGAGGCCGCCCCATGGCTCCAGTGAGCAGCTACCCACCGTGGAAGATGTCAGGAGGTGCCTTTCCCTGCAGGAGTTCGACAGACCCCCCTTTTTCCGCAATTCCAGTTTCAGTTTCAGGTTTGTCCTTCGGCTCCTCTAGAGCTGGCTGGGTCTCTGGTTTTCTTTTGAGCACATTTATCAGCAAAATGTGGTTACTTGATGCTTTTTCCCATCCGCAGGAATGCGCTGGAGGGCTTTGATAAACCAGATGGAGCCCTTGACTCGCCGATGCTGAGCCTTCATAATTTGGTTCACTCTTTCCTGAATGGGACCAGTGCTCTCCCTCATGCAGCTGCCAATGATCCCATCTTTGTGGTATGTCTTTTACCCCCATCGTGATGGACAATGGCTGAGGCTCAAAGGCACCTTTCTCACAAAAGATTTGCAGAACAAGTAAAGTGAATTCCCTAAGAAATAGTTCTTTAAATAGAAAAGCAGGAATCCTTTATCTTTTCTTGAACACTGCCACACCTGCATAAATGTTGAATAAAAAGGAAAAAGATCCCAGGGTAATTTGTAAAATATAAAATAAGATTCTAGGGAGAAGAGCTGCTATTCCAAGTCATGATGCGTGGAATAATTTTATAGGTAGTATCTAAATCTAATGGCTTATATTGCAAAACAACAAAACCTTATTTTACAGCAACAAGGTAAGGTGAAATTTGGGATAGTTATTTTAAAGCAGTAGATTGAGTGCTTTGTTTCTTTGTTTTAATATTTACAAGCTAAAAGGAAGTCCATCTAATGTCAGAGTGTATTGGGAAATAGAAAGAATATGATTTCAGCGGTGTATCAGAATACTGCTGCACTGCCATGAGCAGCACAAGCAGCATTTTGTGCAAATAAAAAGCCACTAGTTGACTCTGCTTCTACATATTTCTCCCCTAGTAAATTCATGCAAATTTGTTTTTCTCCTTGTTAGATTAAACCACAGCATTTACATAACATATAAAAATTCTTTATATATTATATCTATGTATTATGCAGATACATTTCTTTCTTACCTTCATTTTAAGTTTTCAAAACTTTTTTTTGAGAAATTAGTCCAAATACTTTTGTAATGGTTCTTCAGATTGTTTCCTTAATGATTCTTTAATTCCTGCATTAGCTTCTTTCTTACACAGTGAAATTAATTTCACTATTCTGTAATTTTATACAAAAGATTATTTTCTATAGGATATTTTCCAATTTTTTTCCAGGGTTGTAATTAAAAAAACCATGAGTACATCAGAAATTAGTTTCAGACATTTGTAATAGTTGTCTGAAACAGCTTTCCTGCATTAGTTAATTTTAGATCTATAAACTCACCTGATCAAAGTCACGAGCACCTGGAGCTGTGGAGTTGGTAGCACATGCTCTAAAATGAGCATGATGGAGTCAAATTTCCTGCAGCTTTCCATACTTGTTCAGAGATGAGAAATATTAAAATAATTTTGAAAGGCACATTCACCTGAATGAGCTCAGTGGCTCCTCACCTGTGATGATTCACCTGTCCATTTGATGCCAGCTGATGTTAAACTTTCTGGAGTAAGATCTCACTGGGTACAAGCAGCAACAAAGGTGTATAAAGCAAAATGTCCCATGCAGAAGATCAGTCTTCTCATGAGCTTTCCTGATTTCCCATTCTGTAAATCCCATCTAAATTAGACTACCCTCTTCTCTCTCTTTCAAAAGCTCCAGCTACCTTGTGTTTTGTTGTGTGTTTTAAAGGTGGCTGATTTTTGAAAGAGCTTAATAAATGCATGCCCATGCCTGGATTTGCAGGTTCTTCACTCCTTTACTGATGCCATCTTTGATGAGTGGATGAAGCGTTTCAAGCCCCCTGACAACGCTTGGCCTGAGGAGCTGGCCCCCATCGGGCACAACCGCCTGTATAACATGGTCCCTTTTTTCCCTCCGGTGACCAACCAGGAGCTCTTCCAAACTGCAGAGCAGCTTGGCTACACCTATGCCATCGACCTGCCAGGTATGTCCCAGGCTGCTGTTCCTTGCCAAGTGATGAGACAGCTCACATTTTCCATAGCACAGGTATATATAAAATAAGGAATCTTTCACAAAATGCACAGGTCTATTCACCTGCTCACTTCCCAACATTAATATTTGGGTACCTGGAGAGATGTACCTGGGTGTTTTTTCTTGTAAACCCCCAATTTTAAAGATATTCCATGTACATAGCTGGAATCTTCATTAGTGTTTGTTTATTCATTTGAAATTACTCTTGACACAAATCAGACAAAGACAAATGTATTTATGCAGAAACTCCAAATTTTGCAACAAGATATTAAAATATTTGTAAAAGATGAAAGAGTAGGGTCTGCATGAAAACCATGCTTCAGCTGCTTTTCCAAAGATTAAACCTGAGTAGTTTCTTTCTCCATCTCAGTGTTACTTTGAAAGGCATAAGGTGCTTATTTAATCTTATGGGGGCAGGAATTTCTCCTAAATGCTTACCATACATCTCTGGTTTTAATCTGTGGAGATTGTTTAAAGGTCTATAGACTGCAAAAGGTTGAAACCCTTGCCCTCAGGCTGCATTCATGCAGGGGAGCCCTGATTTGTGGAGGCATGCTAGCTGCTTTTGCAGAGCTTTTCTCAGGGGCATCCCCTGAATTTTCCCTGAAAATCTAGCTTCCTTATGAAAAGAAAAGGAAAACTTATGGAGTTTAAGTTTTCCTCCCTTGGATTACTGTCCCACTCTCTTGCTTTGCAAATGTGGATGCCCCTTTGGCATGAGGCACCCAGAGAGGAACATTGGTAGCTTGTGAATCTGTTGCTTCTGACTCACACTTAAATAAATTTTTAGCTCTTTGTGAAGGAGTGTATCTATCCCTGCCTATGTTCAGACAATTTTACATCCAAACCCTTCTCTTTCAGCTAAAAGAATAACTGGCTAATTGTACTTCAGGTGATCACATTGGAAATAAACATATATTAATACATTGCTGACTTGAAAAATGATAAAGCAGTAAACAATTCATTTTAGGACTTGACTAATTTTTGGAATGGTTGCACTCAACTTTTTTTAAGACTTCAGATTGGGGACAAGACTTTTAGTTGCTTTTATAGTCAGTCTGACATCTCCTTTAGCCATCTGTCTCCTCTAAGCCATATACATAGATAACTTTTAAACCTTTTAAACATGTGCAGTCCTCTTGAGAATGTGGTTGTGATTATTTCCATCTCAGTATACGTAGCATTCTTAAAAAAAGGAGGGCAGGCAATTTTTCCTTCTGAAAGCACAAATGAAAACACAAACATTTAGTCAAGTGGAGCAGTGTTATTATAGGGATAAGCCATATTATCTTTGAAGACAGTGGTTCTTCAGAAGTGGTTTAAAATCAGCAGATGTGATCTGGAGCTGGTCAGCAGAAGCACATTAAGTAGTGTTTTCAGTTAAAAGTTTGACAGTAGGCTGCTTTGTGGTCTTCATGAAAATTTGAGTGTTTTCTGTTGACCAAAATAGCTTGGAAGCAGCTGTCTTGAAATGTCACTATAGAAAGAATTGTATAGATAATTCATAATTTTCACCAAATTAGATGAAAGTCACATCTCACAGTTTCAAGCTGTGTCAAGGGAAATATAGGTTAGATATTAGGAAAATGTTTTCCATGGAAAGAGTGATAAAGTACTGGAATGGTCTGCCTGGGGAAGTGGTGGAGTCACCATCCCTGGGTGTTCAAAAAAAGATTGGATGTGGCACTCAGTGCCATGGTTTAGTTGAGGTGTTAGGGAACAGGTTGGACTCGATGACCTTGAAAGTCTCTTCCAACCTTGTGATTCTGTGTGACTCTGTGTGTGTGAAAAAATGGTCTTTTTGTCTTGTCAATGTTAATCTTTTCCATTCCTAGCACTTAAATTTGTATGAATTGTTGAAGTTTAAATTCAGCTGTAGACTTCTCTGGAAGGAAGCATCTCCAGCTCTGATATGTGTCTCAGTTATGTGGTGTGTTATGAATTTTGCCTGTGGCCAGTAGGTCACTAAGCTGCACAAGTAATCATAATTATCAGCATGTAGGAGATAGTATGTCTTCTGTGTAATTTGCAAAATTGAATTATGGACTGTCCTCACTTCAGTCATTTCATACTTCCAGATTCCCTTGACGAAACCCAAGCATGGGCTGTCATGGTCGGATCCACAATTGGAGGAGTACTTACAGCTCTGGCCGTGCTTGTTCTGCTGCTTGTGCTTTTCCAGCACCGAAGGCACAGAAGAGGTTTTGAACCCCTGATGAATGTGAGCTTCAGCCCCAAGAAGTACATGGGAGAGGCCTAGTACCCTCACTTTCTTTGCTTGCTCTTGTAGGGAGTGACCTTGATTGCCTTAATGGTATCTTAGCTGAGACTTTATCACACACTCCTTTGGCAGCTGACTAAATTGTTCTCATTCAGGTTTTTCCCGTTATCTTGTGAATTGTAATGCGTGAAGTCTCTGGGTACATATGAGAAAGGCCCAAGTCAGGCTAGATTTTTCTCATTACTAAATGTTATCTGGAGTGTGTGACACTTGTAAATCATCCTCTAGAGATTTAGATCAAAGCAGCTGAGAATCCAAATAGGAGAAAACCAACTTGAATAACCAAGATAATTTTTCACCTCAATGTGTTCTTGATTTCATTTAGCAGCATTAAAATGTGCTGAAAGTTATTAATTCTACATGTATATTTAAGTAATACATTATTTTATAGTTATCAATAAATACTCTGAATAACACAGTCTTAAGGTTCAAAATGTTTCATGCAGTTTGACAAAATATAGGAACACCCTGGTTACAGTTTATTTCAGAAGCATGATCAATTTTGTATGTTATTTCCAACAAAATTGATAGCAATAGGTAAACTCCAAAACTCCAACTCCTAACATTTAAGACCAGGAGTTTCCTGATACCTAGATATACACTTGTGTTTTACCTCTGTGTTAGGGACCTTGGGCAGAAGTTGAAAGTGGGACTTAACTTTTTTGTCTCTGATGCGCTGTTCTATGAATCTAGACACAAACATCCAAATTTCCAAAGTCTAGGATGCAGGACTCAAGGTAACAATTATAAGATAGCTTGCATTACTCAGGTGGCAGGTGGGGAATCAGGTTTGGATATGGCAGTTGTTAGACCCCATCCTAAACATTCCTTTATACATTCCCTATATATTTCTTTATTTAGACAGAGATTTGAAACCCATTTGTGTGCCCTCTGGTGTTATCTTAGAACACGTTTTTTTATATAGCAAATGACATCTTGAACAGATCCTGTCAGCTTTGGTGCTTGATATATTACATTAATGGAGTATTCAGACTTTGTGTATTGTGAGGTCTTGAGTCTTATAAAACCTTTGCTTTTTTAGCCTTGAATAAAAAAATTAAGTTAGTAAAATTTTCTGGCATTTCTTTTAGGCTTGCTAAATACCACCTATGTGGACTAGAAAGAAGATGTTTTTCACATATACTTAACTTTGAATATGTGTAACTCACAAAACTTACCTCTAAAATGCAGACTTTTTGGATCAAACAAAGTTGAGATTTGCTCACCACACACTCAGCCTTTGCTCCATCAGGTGGACAGCAGTCTGCTGTGATTTCTGCTGCTGCTTTGTGGTGCCTTTGGGGGATCCCAGTGCACTTGTTCCTGGATTATGTCCAAGATGTCAAAGGTTGAAGCACTTTTTTTACAGCAGCTCAGCTCAATATCTTATTCCCCAACTCAGACTGTCTTTTGGGGGTTTTGTTACTCAGGGACTGGTGTTATCTGGTGCTGAAGACAACAGATGAGGTCTCCAGAGATCTAGCTTACACATGTGTTGCATTAGTTGACCCTGATCTTTGTCTGAAGGTAGCTAGGCCTGAGATCTCCATGTGCCTTTCTCAAGGAGCTGTCAGCTGTTTTCCAGCACTACAAGGATCTTTATATAGAATCACAGAAGACTTTGGGTCCAGATCATCTAGTCCAGCTCCTCTGCAGTGAGCAGGAACATCTTAAGATCAGATTGTTCAGAGTCCTGTTCAACCTGATGAATGTTTGCAGGGATGGGGCATCCACCACCTCTCTGGGAAACCTGTGACAGTGTTTCACTGTCCTCATTGTAATAAATTTATTCCTTATGTCCAGTCTAAATCTACCCTCTTTTAGTTTGAAACCACTAGCCCTTGCCCTATTACAACAGGCCCAATTTAGTATTTTGTCCCCATCTTTCTTATAAGCTCCATTTGAGTATTGAAAGATTGCAGCAAGGTCTCCCTGGGGCCTTCTCTTCTCCAGGCTGAACAACCTAGAACGTGCACTAGTTCATGCTAAACACTAATTTAGAGAGCTGCTGTTGAATGGAGATGGACATATTTTTGTCCTTCATGGGATCTGGATGGCAAAATTTAGAAGGCACTCTAGGCTGCAATTTCCAAGGGTGGATGAGAATTTTCCTTGGAGTCACAGGGTGCCCCACTAGCTTCATCAGCTTATAGGTTTGGATGCTGCTGCCCCAAAGGTTTGCTTTGCAAGCTGCCCCTGTAATGGGCAAGTAACAGTGGCAGTGGGGTAGATGAAGGAAAGAAGGAGAGAGAAGTGTAAAAAAAAATGTATCACAGCAGCTAACTTGTTAGAACAGATTTTGCCTACGAGCCTGTGGGTAAAGCAAAGGAGACTTCCTATCTCTCATGTAAACTGAGTGGAAAGGTATTTTCCTTTCCAGAAGAAGAGCAATGAGGGCATTAGATTGATACTATACACATAACAAATACTAGGATTAAAGATCTATGCATTCCTCTTTTCACTGGCTGGAGGTTAGTTTGGTAATTAGGGCTTTAACAATGTGAGTGGACTTAACAGCTGCTTATAAAAATCTGCAGCTGTATTGAGAGCACAACCTGCCCTCTTGTGGCTTACTGGAATATTACTGGTGACACTAGAAAGCTCTTTTTCTCCCTTTTAAATGAGTACAGTATTGTTCTAGCAACCAAGAAAAGTTGTGTCTTTGGTGAAGGAAAGAAGCACAGGTCATCTTTGTATGAAATGCTTAAAAGGAAAGGAAATTGAGCACAGACGCTTCAAAGAACAGATGGAGGAAATCCTGCAACAAGTCTTACTTTAAAGGTTTGTTTTACGTGTTTTGATATTCCATTCATCCCAAACAACACAAGATGCCTTTTTTGTTGCTGTTTTATGCAGATGTTATTAAATATCTACCATCTCTTATTTCATAAATTGTCCTGAGGCTGCTGGCGTGGGATTAAGAGGGATGCTCAAAGGCTCCCACAGATACTTAAACTGATGGAAAGAATGCTGAAAACATAGTATCCCCAATCTCCATATAGCCCACTACACCCTGGGATTTTCATCCTACAAGTCAGTGCAAACCATAACCTCAGCTGGTGCTCATGGACCACCTCTGCCCTTCACTTTTCCCCTTCACATTCATAATTACCCAGTCCAGCCCAGGAAGGAAAGATGAAGGACCAGCACATCTGTCTTTGTGTGCTTTTTACTCAAGGCACTTTGTTAACAGACAGGAGGTGCACTGCTGAATGGCTGCAAGCTGAGGTGGGTGTAATCATCACCACCCCTGCCCCCTTTAAAATAATTCCTACTGAATTGCTGCTTTCTTCTGAGAAAATGCACACAGAAGCTACAAATTTGATCTCTGGAGAAGTACTCAAAAACATTCCTTCCTCAGCCTTTTTGTTAGCTAGGCCCATGCAGCTTTGCATGTAGGGCTTTTGAGTGGATCATCTTTCTGAGGAGTCCAATGCTCTCTGGTCACTAGTTAATTGCTCTCTCACCTGGCTGTACTGGATATGTGGGCAGTTAATGCCTCCTTCTGAGTCACTCAGTAGATTAAGTGCCTAAATTTTGACACTGCAGTAAGCTGATGAAAGCCACATAATCTCTGTCAGTCATGGCCTGTGCTTTTCTGAAAATGATAATCATGAAAATATTCTTAAGAAATTAGTGAGACCCTGTATTCTGAATGAAATTAAATCTCATTCCTGTATGTTTAGCTAAATGCTTGAAATGGAATTTGTTCTAATTTTGTCTTGATTTAGGAAGGAAGTGATGTAAAGCTACCATGTCTCATGGCTATTACTGTAAAATTTTAAGTTGCAATACCATTACTGACTTTCTTTTAGGGCAGACACATACCTACTCTAGTGATGGCAGAAAAGAGAAAGAAAAGAAGCAGATTGAAAGACTGTCAGCTAAATTTAGTAGGGAAGGTGTACACTTGCAGAGCTAGGCACATAGGCTGATAGCTACTAGGAAGGAAACTTTTTTCCTGAAATACTGGCTGTGCCCTGCTGTGCAGTGCATGCAGCCAGTGATGTGCCCCGCACACAGGTGCCTGCACTGAGTCAGGTTATGAACAAAGCTGTGTCTATGATCCTGCTCTGCTTCAGTGCTCCTGCAGGTGAGAGACAGCAGATATTCGTTATCCAGGGCTTTTTACTGAAACTGGGCTTTCCAAGACGTGGGTGATCAGACAAGTGGTACCAATGCTACACATCTTTTTTACACACCAGCTTCTTCTTGTGAAGGGGCATTCACCTTCTCTTCCATGGACAGCAAAAGTACCTCTAAACAAATTAAGACAACATATAAACCATTGCACTGTATAGATCCAAACCCATGCTCCAAGACCGGCAGGGTATGGATGAAATATGAAAAGAAAGCTCCTTGCTGCAGAATCTGCAGGTTATTTTGCCCGTCCTGATCTTCTTAATGAATCCTGTCTGCACTTAAGATGTTACCATTGCCATGTGTTCCCTCTTCAGAAGTCTCTTTTGTCCATCAGCCAGGACACATGGGTTTTGCAGGATAGTGGCAAAGCTAGTAAATCTGACTCTGAGAGTGAGAAACCTCAACATACCAAGCTTTTCAGTAGAGACCAAATGAGCAATCAGGTCTCTTCCACATCATGTAATCCACCTCTGTTTGTCTCTCCTTCCTTCACTGACTTGTTCGCTCTGGCCTCTTGACAAACTGATGAGCCCTGGAGCAACTTCAACAGGCAGGAGCAAAAGAAAGTATGGGTGGACTGCAGCCATTGCCCTTGGCAGCACTTCCAAGTGCCTGAATACAGGAGGCAGTCACGGGTCTCCAGCCCTTATCTCTGTCCTCAGGTTTTCTCACAGATTAAATTAAAAAGATCTCTCCAGCACCATTGTTTGCCTGTCATGGATCTCCTGTGGCTCCTGATTTTCTGCAACTGTGTAGCAGAGAGCTCAGCTACCTATTCTGGAAACGGTGAGTTGTGTTATGTGGATTTATGGCTGGAAGACAAAGGCTTAAATGTTCAGTGATAAGGCCACAAAATCTCCCTTGCAGCTTCCTTCACTGGGTGATTCCATTGCTGCATCCAGGCTGCTTCCAGGCCTGTTTCCCTGCCATCCATCTCTGTTTGGTCTATTCTGTCTTACCTGATTTTTTAAATTTCTGACTTAGAAGGTCTCCTGAGATTTCTTTCTTTTTTTCTTTTTTCCCCCTCTGCATGCCTCCTGCTTGAAAACATCTTTCAGTGGCTTCATATTTATGTGGAGGCATTATTGTTCAAGTATCTGTAAGAGTTTCACAGTTGCCTCTTCTGCTTGAGTTAGCTGAAAAGCTGCTGAACACGTTAAATGCTCAGAAGCTGTTCTTGTCAGCAATGAGGCTGGTGGCTTTGTTGGGGCTAGGTGCCACCAATCCCAGATAGAGCCTGAAGTGCATATTAAACCTTCTTCATTAGGTTTCTTTTTAATTTTTACCAGATTTCCAAACTCCAGCCCAGTTTGTATAAGCAAATTTTTTCACTCTCTTTCATGCTGCCATCCCATGATCAGTAGCTGCTCAGGATGGAGAGACCTTGCCAGAGAGCTGCTTCTTCCCATGGTGCTGCAGGGGGCTGTGCAGGGCCAGGGCACTGCCAGGAGAGCTGCTGTGCTCAGCCCTTGCAGAGGCACATCAAATCTACTCCCAGTCCTTGGGACCGACGTCAACAGCCGGGTTCATGGCTGGCAGGTGCTCTCCTGCCCGGCACGCTGCGCTCTCGCTGCTCCCCTTGGCATGGCTGGCTGGCAGAGCTGTGAACCAACAGCTCCACTGGGAGCGCTCCCAGGCTGTTGGGATGCATCTCACATCCCAAGGCTGGAGAGGGAACCTTGGTGAGCTGCAGAAAGCCTGCTCCTTGTGCAGATGCGTACAGCAGCACCAAGTGCCAAACCCCACGGATTTAGAATTCAGCTCAGGACTTTGAAAAATACCACTTGTGAAGGCAAAGCACAATCCTTCCTGAGGAAAAAAGAAGCTGGATTTTTTTCAACAGAAGGAAAAGCCCTTCTTCTTTTCCTCCAACATTTTCCACACGTAATCTTAGGAGAAGCTGATTTTGCAAAAGCAATGAGAGCATTTGTT